CAAAACATGACAATTAATTGCAACAACCTTTCAACCTTGCTGTAGCACTAGCTAATAATTTTATTAAGCACATCATTGCTGTTTTTTGGACTTTTGATGTAAAACCTTGGAGTTTCCAGCTGAAAACCTTCAGTCCCACCCCCTCATTAAGTATGCAGAAAGTATGTTTAGCTGATTATCTCTGTAGTTGTTCATTCAAATTTAGTACTTTTATTTTTCAAAAAAAGTAAATTTGCATACCTACCTGCTGATACCAGACAACAATTGGAATTGCACTGCTAACAGACTTTAAAAAAATATTACCATTATCCAACTACAATGAGCCAATAGGTAAATTTCTCATCCCTGGATCAAGTGAAGAACAACTTTGCCTAGACAGCTTTTGGCTTTTCTAGCATTGTGGCATCAGTTCATGGACTGCTATCGCATTATAGTATTTAAGAATAATTATTTTAGGTAACAAAAACAATTACAACATTATAAAAAGAACACAAAAATGCAAGTTTATGTACAGTGTCCTAATTTTGAAAGACAGCAAGCCTATAAACATGAAAAGAAATGTAAATAGGGAAAATGTATAATTGACCTCACTTGAATGCAAGACTCATTGATGACCTCAGTATCTCCTAAGCTTGATGCATCAAGAAAATGGTGACACTAAAGAGATAGAGAAACAAAAAGAGGAAAGAGAGAAAGGTGTACAGCACTGAATTGTTATTACAAAGGTAATAGTAATGGCAATGGTAACTGTATTGCCATCTGTGCTCAGAAGGCAATGTCATTGTTAATGGGTTTATCTGAGACATAATGAAGAATACATGTATAGTCAGTGACATAGGCCTGTGACAATTACCATTACAGTTACTCAGTAATCAATTGACTCAAATACATGTACATGTACACAACATACCACTTACCTTTGCATTAGTGCATATTAATCTCAACACATCCTTTTCTCTAAGTAATAAGTTAATGTCCATGGAACAAACTGTTTATTGATTATGAGTAGTTAACGGCACTAAAAGAGAGATAAAAGAGATGGTAATTTTAAGTAATTTTGATGTTTAAACATTTTACTTGTTCAAATTGGACATGCTCTGAATATTCTTAGCATTTTGTCTTAATTCCATTCTCCTGTACAATAAATGATACATCAATTATTACTGACCAAAGGACACTCACTATCTCTCATTTACTGTACATGTGTACATGCACTGAATAAAACATGCACTG